ATTAAATTTGAAAATATAAGCGCCTCCAAAAATGTGTTCACCTAATTTCGGTATGTCGAAATTAACATTTCGGACTGTAATCGTTAAAACGATATATTAAATTCCTAAACGTTGTATACGAATTCAGAAACTAATTACACAAAATTTTATGTTTTCTTTAATTATACTGTTTTTGGAAAATTCAAATTAGTCACTGTCGTGCCGAATACTACAGGAATTTGCTTCAACACTATTTGACGTCACTGAATTGGTAGACGATAACAATGTAGGTCAACAATACACTGGCGATGGTGAGAATGAGGCTTTTGTCCACAGCAAACATTCCCCAAGCAGAAAAATTTGGAAATTCGTGCCAAGTTTCCATATAAAAGTGAAAAGCGTATTCTTGAACTTTATTGCAATACGATTTGGATTTCTGATCTATCACGGAACAAAGCGCTTTGCCTTCTTCCCCAACACGAGAAGCGGCGAAACAAATTTTGACAAACTGGAAAAACAGAAAATTCGAAATCAAAAAAATTTTCACGTAATGAATCCAAGTGTTATAATTTTGGAACTTCAAAAACCGACCAAATCTGAGAATTATGTTGCCTCCGACCAAGACGGTCCATAAGAATAACTGCGTAGAATACGCGTTGCGAGTCTCTTTTACGCATTCGATTAGTTCACTGGCTTCCGCGATAATCCGAGGAATATTCTTCCCTTTGCCATTCGGTTTCACCGTTTCGTGACGTAAAGTTCGAAAGGCGTTGGCCAATTCCTGGCAAATCAGTTCAAAGAAGAGAAAATTCAAATTTTGTATCATTATAATTACAACCGAATACAAGAAGGATAGCAACAAATAAAGAATACACCAAGAATTCTCGCTTATTTCTTCGTAAATAAATTTTATATTTAAATCCGATGCGAAATCACTCCCGTAAAAGACAACGGCTAACGCATTACACGTATTAAACAGAAAAAAATGAAGCAGAATGGCCACAATTCGGACCGTCAGACAGTTCTTATCAATTCCGCTGCTGCAAGAAATGCCGTGAAAACGAAATCCCCTACCGTCTAATTTCAAATCGAAAATACACATAACGAATAATAATAAATTCCATTTTTTCAAGTGTTTCATTTCCATACTTTGCTTTGTATTTGAATCCATTTGCGTGTACGAATATTTGAGATTTTTAGTCGAAAACTGACACTAATGTCCGTCGAGAAATGAAGGATCGCGTATTTTATTGTAGTACACAAACCGAAATTTCCACTGGCTTTAGGAAAAATTTGAAAAAAGTGAATTTCTTTTCTGAAAATTTTTTATTATTTTCTTTGTTTACTTCCAGTAATACACCAGCATTCGGGAACACGAATAGACATAATAGTGTTTGTATTACTTTGCCAGTACGGTGTTATGAAAAGCCAGAACAATAACAGACGTGTTTATATTTCGAAATAACCCGTTAAACCAATTTTTTTATTATCAACGTCAAACACGCTGAAGTACAACCTGTGGCCAAGCGGTGTTCGTCGCCCGAACACTGGGAGTTCGGTCCTGGGTTCGCGCATCGCTCGGATGGGCTGGCCACGCGGTTTCCGGGTTTTCTCCACGTCTCTAACGCCTAAAATAGAGGCCAGTTTTCCACCCTCAAATTTTAAGAACTTATACAAATTATTTTTATACATTAAATGTAAACACATCGTCACTTTCTTATTTATTAATATTTGCGATAGAAATGTAAACAGTGTTACCATTGTTCAGTTAATTGCTTTCTGTTGTTGATTTTCCTCAAGTATAACGGGAAAAACATAATTAGTTCTTTGAATGGCATTTACATTTCATCAATTTTACAAAACATTTATGAAGTTTTCACTTTGGTCGTAAGTCGCGAGAGTTCGTAACTTTACTTCGCGAGAGAAATTCGAAGCGCGATTCCGAAAAGTAATAATAGAGGAGAAGGTGGTATTATGGAACCCCAATTACATTTTAGTGAATTGTAAACAAGGTATCATAACTACACCCACATTTTTTGTGCGAAAAGTACCGGTAACTAGTAAACTAAATGTTCCTAATTGGATTTTTCGCCAGTGTAATTATAAGTATGGTTTTTGAAGGCTTTTGTACAAAAAGTCCGAAAGTAGGCTTAAAGAAAATCGGGTGGTAATATGGAACCTTACTGTATATTTTCAAAAAAATGCTTTAATGTAGCCAAAAACAAATAGGAAAGGACAAAAAATGTTAAATAATTACCAAATTATTTACTCCGATGCATTTTATCGCAAAAATGCTTTTATAATAGAAAAATATGACCTCCATCAACAATATATATTCCGGCAGCTCTTTTTCGATATTTTCAGACTTTCTACCTAGTGTCTTTTTCCCAAATTGCTCCGGACGAATGTCTGCTTGCAAATAGAAAGTTCGGAGGAGTTGAGTTCCATATTACTGTAAAAGCACCAAAGGGGTCCGTATTTCACGCATCGCCATCTCGAATTAACTTATGTCTGTCGAGACCAAAATTTAAAAAACGTGAACATCACACAGATTAATACGTACCCCTAAGTCTCTGGAACGAAATACGTGCACCGGTGAACCTACAACTACGCGATTTATATTTCAAAAATAATTAAATTCACTTAGCATTCAAAACTTGCGAATTTTGAAAAAAACAAATTCGCTGATTAAATACGGACAACTGTTTAACCGAAGTAAAACGGGTTTACCCTTTGCTATGGATGTCTGCCTAGTTCAGTTCGGCCACATTCCGCTATAGTTCGCCTTTATTATCAGTTCGAAATGGGGTGGTTCCATAATACCCGCAGTGTTCCATAATACCACTTTCTCCTCTAATAATAACATTCGTCATACTTTTATATATCCGGACAATATAATTGAATTCTCAAATGAAATTACAGGCGGAGGTTCGACACATGAAAACGTGGAATCCGTTATTAATCACAATGTCTCTGGTCGGTTTAAAAATAGAAGGTAAAGGTTTCCATTTTCGAGCCACGGTGATTTTAGTCCTGGAAATAATGTTGGTGTCAGTTTCCACTTTCAGAGTAATCAAGAACGTCACGGATAAAGAGGATTTCATTAAAATTTGCCTGAGAGGATTTTTTACTTCCACTGAAATAATCTCTACGGTCACGTACTATCGATTTCATCTGGACCGAGTGAAAATTGGTTGGCTGATTCGCAACGTTCACGGAATTTCCGGCGGCAGCGGAGTGGATAAGAAACGTCTGACGGTCCGAGTGGTGGCGATTTTGCTTAATTTTCTTCTAATTAATATAAGTAATATGTCCGCCGTGGTAATTTTTGGAAGCGACTTCGCGTCGGAGATGAATATTAAATTCATTTATAAAGAAATAAGCGAAAATTCGTGGTGCATTCTTTATTCGTTTCTCACCTTTTTGTATTCGGTGGTAATTATGACCACACAAAATTTGAATTTTCTCTTCTTCGAAACCATTTGCCAGGAATTGGCACACGCCTTTCGAATGCTTCGTCGGGAGACGACGGAACGAAAGGAAAACGCCAAGAGCATCTCTCGGATTATTACGGAAACCCAGGAGCTAATTGAATACTTGAACGAGATTCGTAACGCCTATTCTCTGCAGTTATTCTTGTGGACCGTTTTGGTGGGACGAAACATAATGGTCAACTTCGGACTGGTTTTGAATTTCCGTTACTACGATACCTGAATACAGTACGCGAAAGTGTTCCTTATTTCCTGTTATCCGTTTATTCAGTTCGCCCAGATATGTTTTGCTACTTCGTGTATTTCCGAAGAAGGAAAGTCTCTTTGTTCCGCTAAATATCAACGATCCACGTTGTACGCCGACAAAATACAAGAATACTCTTTTCGCTTCTACGTGAAAACTTGGCACGAATTTCCCAATTTTTCTGCTCGGGGAATGTTTGCCGTGGATAAAAGTCTAATCTTGACCATCGCCAGTGTATTGCTGACTTACATTGTTATCGTCTATCGATTCAGATAAATAAATATTCCCGACGAACTGTACTCTCGATTAGAAATTAAGATAAACATTACCGTTTTAATTCTAAATGGCTTCGTGGGTTTTAACTTATGTTGAAAACGTAATTTAATTTAATGGTTTATGCTGGAAAATTTATCATCGAAAATGTAAAGATTTCCATAAATCTTTGAGGTTGGTTTAAAATATAAATTATTTCTCTCGTATCAGTTTATTGACCCGATATTAAAAGAGCAAGAACCCGCGGAAATCAATTATTTTATTCATTTATAATACAACGAATAGGCTCATTTACAATTTGGCATTGTTGACAAATTCCTATATTCACAAATTTGTCAATAATGTCAATAGATTACAGTGGTACCTCAGGATACGAAATTAATCCGTTCCGAAACTGACATCGTATCGTGAAAATGTCGTAAAGTGAGTCATTTTTCCCATACGATTACATGTAAAACCAAATAATTCGTTTCAACACGAAAAATACACTCAAATTAAAGCTAAGTAGTACATTAAAACAAAATAACTATAGTAAGGAAAACACTGAAAAATGCGTTTTGTAGTTGTAAATTTATAAATAACCGTAATAGAATAATAATTGATAAAAAAATGTAATTTTATTTGCACTTTACCTTTGAGGATAGACGACGGTGGAGGGGTAAACTGGTGGCGGAAGAGAGGGAGTCTTTTACAGTAACGAATGCATGCGTTATGTTATTTATATTTGAATTCCGAATTTTTTGTTTTTAAGGTACTAGATACACTTTTCCTAAATATGTGGAAAGCAGCGATTTACTACACTGTACTTGTAATAACAGTGACAGAAGTACGACAATGTATAGAAATTCACATCAACGTATACGTTTTTTCACCGTAAAATAAACAAGCAGATTATTAGTAAAACAAAAGAAAATAAGAATAATAAGAAAAAGTCATGGCATCGACTATTATCAATTTTAATGAATTTGTCGTTACTACACGACTGGTATCTTGCATTATATTTAATAGTATTGATTAAATGCAATAACTTTTAATGAACGTGTTTGAGAAAGGTGACGAGGAGGTTGGTTTACATTTCTATAATTTCGGATTCGTATAAAAGTGTAACGGGTAAATTTACTCGTCTATTTATGGCTTTACACGTAAACCGAGCGATATTTACATGTTACGCCACTAAATTTTATCGCAAATTATAATAAACTCGGTATATATTACGCAGAAATCGGATACAACGCAAAGATTTCTTACGAGCCGATCGCAGGCCGCCGACCACCCATCCGGTGCGTATGAAACCCGTTTAGAAAATACGTCCTTCTCAAACATTAATGAAAAGTTAAAAATACTGCGAAATACACAATCTCAAAACACGTTTTAATACAGTAAAATAGATTTAAAGAAATTGTTATCGATTGTTTTTCCTGATAATACTGAACATGACAGAATCTTCTACGCCGACAGAGCGTTTTCGTCGAAAATGCTTTATCCATAAATCTCTGGCACTTTTGTTGCAGACGATCTAAGAAATTATAATATTTCAATTGTAGAATATTTCTAGTTGTCGACGATTAAAGAGAACTTACTTGAAGCAGAAAGATGACGAATCCCTGAAGAGTGACGAAAATGGTGAACAGATATTTAAACACTAATTTCGCGCTGCTTATGGCGAAGAAACCCAACGTCCACGACAGTCCTACGTAATAGTTACCATTTATTTCTACCGTAATTACGTTTAGCGTAACGACGAATGAGAATGCGCTTACCTAAAAGGGTTAAAATGCAAACTGCCGCCCTTACCCGTACCAAAACCAGTTTCTTGTCATCCGTCTTCAGCTTCGGCTTTTTCGCCCAGGCGACGGAATAAAAGACCAAACAGAATACCACCAAGTTGACCAGCATAACTATTCCCACCGGCAAGAGGAATCCTTAATAGAATGCTCCTATTTGAAGCCAATAACTAGGAAAAACAAAATTTAATTAATTTCAATTCGAGTCTCTCCTAATAAATTATCACTTACTAATTTTTTCCTCCGTGGTACAATTTATAATCGACGGACATTATTACGGCCACGATGAGTAAAGGAGTTCCTAGGAGAATATGTATATCTGTAAGAGGGGCCAATACGCATTTTAATTAAAAAAATAATTAGTTGAAGACTCACCCCAGGCAAAAACGGATGCTTTGAGCATAAATTTGGGGATGTAAGTATCCAGCACCTTGACTAGTTTCAGATATTGCTGCAAGGCCTCTATCAACATCCAACAGAACGAGGCCATCAACGAATAATGCAAGAGAGCGGCCGCAAATATACACCCCCTCTTGGACGAGATTTGATCGATTCCCGAAACGAAAACGATCAGACTTAACAATATGGCCGATGCCAAATTGCACAGAACCTTGCTCACCACTCCTTTTCTCAGTTTTCTAAACATATTTTCGGAATTAGATTATAGTTTTTCGAACTAACAACCGTAAATGATCACTGTAAATCGGTAAAATGTAATTTTATTCTTTTAATAACATTTTATCCGCCTGTCTTATAGCTGTTATCCTCGCAACGCCCACATTTTTCCCCGGCGATGAGAATGTTTTAACTAATTCCCCCCGTAAAAGTTACGTATCGCCATACTTTCCCCCGTTATGTATAAAGCCGGTAAAGTTCGTTATTTTTCTAATCTCGTGCCATAATGTCCTAAGTAAAGTTTTGCTATCCTAGTAAATTTCCAAATCTCATTTATAGCCTACTAAATCGATTGGCAAACTTTAACTTACTTGAACATCACGAAACTGCTTAGTGTTAATACGAGCCCCATTATGGAAAGCGCGCACCCCACGTAGGTGAAAATATCCAAGACTACGGCGTGTATCTTTCGCTCCACGTAATCCGGATGTAAATTCTACACCAATTGAAATTGCAGAATTTTCAGTCGTCGTAATATTTGGAAATACATTTTAAAAATACAAATAAATCCATTACGTACCACCAAAACGGCGAAGTTAGTCATGTGATCGCAATGACATACCACTCGACGGGCGGTTCGGTTTGTTATTTCGCAACCCAGATCGGACCAATCTCCCATTTTACGGTTGGCGGAATAATCCCAAAAAACGCACCTCGAACTGCGGGGTATTTGACCGGGAACCTGCGAGCCGACGAGAACATTATAAGGGCTCATCTTCCGCTTTATATAGATATATATTATATTATGCGGGATATTTTCCCTTCGGAAGTTTACCGTGAACACTCGAAATGCGATTTCTATTCTTTTGGCAGGCAAACGAACGGGAGCTCCGGTCGGTCGGGCGTACAGAACGTCACTGACTACGGCTCGATCGGTGCGGTGGGTGAAGAACATGGCATCGTTCTCGTATACGACGTAATTAAAAGTGGCGTTAGACGAAGCTTTCTCTTTCGACACGTCCGGAGGGAGACGTATTCTTACTCTATATTCGTCATTTAATAATGTATCCTGGTGTAAACTCTTCACCCGGTTTGTATCCAGGGGTAGAAATATTCCGACCTCCACATTTTCCGAGGTCAGCGGGTGAGAAGCAATAATTATATTTTCGTTACTTGTATTTATAAAAACGTTATTGGCCTCTAGCATACTCTCCAGCGAAGCTGTAATTCTGGATATCGAGATTAATCTGTTGTCGACAACTTTTGTCTGTTACAGACAATTGTTTTGTCAAAGACCTTACCTGGAAGAAGCGTTGGTTTTCGTATTTGCCGAGGCCAAAACGGAAGAGTCCATCTTCATTAAATTGTCGATGGTCGAGGCGATTTCTTCGAACGATTCTTGTGGATTCTGAAACTATACATCTGTAATAAAATGTGGCCGACACGAAGACAGAAAAATAACACAAGTTCTTACTTGGAAATTTGGTTTGGTGGAAACTTTCTCCAAGCAAGTAGCCACGTAGTGAATGTCGATTGCTCGAATTCGAGGCCACTCGTTTACTAAATTACTTAACTCTTTGGTAACGTTTACTTCATCGCTCTAAAATTTTAAGAAACTAAATAATATTTTAGTAAAGAAAATCGATAATAATTATCCAATTATATACGTTTACCCTTAGGCTATATATTTGTATTTATAACCACACGGAGAAATAATTTTTATTTTTATTCCATTGTAATATTTTCTTTTTTTTCAAAAAGACACTGTGGCCAAGTATGCCTTTGTCAACAAAAACCAACAAATAAAACAAAGCGGTAAGAGGCTTAATCAACTGTAGCTTAATTGGAGTTTGCTCTAACTCCGTCCTCGTATATCCAATTTAAAGATGGATTTGTAAGTGTAAATTTTTAATTTATCAAAATTATTATTCTATACGCATAAAATACTTAATTCGAAATCTTTACGCCATCGAGAATCGGTGATCCTCGAGAAATTTTTGAACCGGTGAACCGAGCGAGCGGGAGGGGATTCACAGAAGAAAACTGGAGTGGGAGGGATGGGTTCCCACTTTGCGGGAGAACGGGAGAAAAGGAACTCGGCAGGTTGAATTGTCACGAGAGTTCTCTCCACTTAAAAAAAAATATTTTTTTTTTATTTCGAGTAAAATTGGATATTTACAATTATTTATTGTATAAAAAATTCTTTAATTTATTGTATTTAAAAAGAAATAAGAATTGGCAGCGCTTACTTACCGTAGATAATTCTTTCAATTGTAGAGTGAGGACGGAGAGTTCTCCCCGGCATTTTCCGTCCACGGGACCCCAATAAGCGCCGTAAGTGAAATTTCCCAAGCACCTTCTAACCACGGGATCGCCTCTGTCTAATTATCAAAAAATAATAGCATTTAGTAGCGCTACAACGAGTACGAGAGCGTAAACGTAAGCTTTACCGGTCACGCAGTCTTCTAGGGGTAAAGCGATTTCACCGAAATTTTTTCTAGGCCAAGTTACGTTTCTGTCGCCCACCTCCGTTGTCGTCGAAAAGCAACCGTCTGAAAAGGAAAATTTACGGTTCTTTATCAATTCCGAATTAAATCATTTTTATTTGGAGGCTTTCGATATAAGGCCAGGAACACACATGCGTAAAATTCGGCATAAAATCTAGCATAAAACAGAAAACGTAAAAATTTTTCTGAAATTTTGGCCGAAACATAACTGAAAAAAGAGTAGAGCGTGTCTCTACTTTTTACTCCGAAAAATTTCTACGCCAAAATTCGTCCAATAAAGAGAAGTCTTTCCTGTGACGTCAAAGTAGACACGTGGTTTTTATTCTAACAATGGCGGCAATGAGGGTTAACCCTACAATTGTGACGGTCTCGAAAAAACGAAAAATAAATGAAATAGAGGAGTTTATTGAATTCGTTCGACCAAATCAGTGTCATGTATAAAGACACTGTATTTAAACAACGTTTATGGTTGGCTATAGGTGCAAAATTTCAAATAACAGGTAGGTCTAGTAGAATCGATATATAAACCTAGTATTTAGATCACACGTTCTTTATTTGAATTCGGAATACGAGTCTATTAATTTAAATTTTCTGTATTATAATAGTGGAAGCGGAGAAAAAATGGAAGGTACTGTACAAAGGGATAGATAGCCTATATGAGAGGAAAAAATTAATAAAATTAGTACTGTTGATGGCAGTGGTGTTTCCTATTCGGCCAGAATTTTTACGTATGTGTGTTCTGGCATAAAAGCGTAAAACAGAAACTGAACTGAAAGCTGATTTCTGATTCAGTTTTCTGCCGCACAATTTTACGCATGTGTGTTCCTGGCCTAAGATTACGTACGCGTAAAAGTCAAATGCCGTCAATTAATAAACGACCTACCTGTATTTTTTATTCGAATACTTTCCGGCGATATTTTCAATTCCGATAATAAACCGGAACTACGGGTCATTCGGTTCTGCAGTTCGTTTAATAACTTCTCTTTATTTTCGTCCACTTTTGTTTCTCTCTTCTTACTCGAAGAGCGCGTGTAGATGAAAAAGTTTACTTTTATTTTACCCCTGCAACCGAGGCGGAAATCAATGGTTACAACAAGGTAATATAGGTATATATAAATACACACTCACTTTGTCTCCGATAGTCGATGTACGTGTACGGCAGTCTGTCGGACGGAAGTTAAAGCTTTTTCGATCTTTTCGCCGATGTTCCGACATCGAATAAAATATTCCTCCGTGCTCGGATCTAATCGAAGAAAGTCCGTAGAAGAATCGAACTCGCCGACGAACGTCCACACGTCTAAAGCGTATTTAATTAATCGTCTTTATTGACAATTGTACAAGAGAGAAACGTTAATCTTCTTACCTTTGAAGGTGAAAAGTATCCGGGGCGAAGCGACGGAGACGAAAGGTCGCTTCTGATCCACCCGGCACCAATAATAGCCCTGGAGTCGACCCCGGGCTAAGCTCGTATTTGTAGAAAGTAAATTTCGTACGGTTAAATATTCGTCGCCGCCGGTAGTCAATCCTCTCGTTCCATTGACGATAACGCCATCTTTATACCACGTGACACTTTTGTAATAACTTTTACTACAAAGGCATTTGAATACACCTTCGGAAACAACGATTATTTCGCAGGAAACTCTAGAATCTACAAAAGTTACGCTTTTAAATTTAAATAATTGGCCTAAATATAAATTTCTCTCGCGGTCGTACCTTCGACCGTCGATTCGCAGATGCCAAAGTAATCTTTTTCTGGATCGTCCAGAGACCAGAAAATGCGGTATCTTACGATCTTCACTAATCCGGCCGTGTAATTCGGTCCGAAATCCGTATCCGCCCCCCAATCCACGTACCGAACGGTTTCGCCTTCGTCCTCCCAAATGAATCCTTCGTCCGATCTCCGAAGTCCGATCCACCAGCCGTAATCTTGGAGAAAGCGCGCGTCGTTACCAAAAATCCTCAGGCATTAATTACCGGATGTGGCTACTTACTTGTATGGTTACGCTCCAATATTAAACTTTTAACCAAGGTATTGACTTCGGGGAGCTCGAGGGTGGCCAATTTTCCTCCTCGTTCTCCGCAATACTCTCGCCATCGCCTCCAATTCATTTTTTTTCCGTCTGCTGGTAACACTTCCGCAGCCAAGGCAAGCTTTTCCAACCGTCGGGACAATTAGAGGCTACGTCACATTGTTAAATTACGTCGGGCTACTTTTCCGCCATTATATTTAAATATAATTATTTGGCTGTACTTACGTAACTGTTTTGCACCGAACGCTTTATGCATGCACCAGAAAGGCCGTTTCTCCCGGCACCGTCGGCTGTACAGAAGAATTTCTTGCCGGCCAATTACTCCGCTCAGACAGTCGTTGCCCGGCGCGGGTTGTCCTTTCTCCCAACGAAATTTTGTGGCGCCGCTTCTGTTAAGGCGTGGGAAAATTAGAAATTACCAATATAATTAAAGCAATAATTGGCAAATCTTACGCGTTTATGGTTTCTGGATAAAACGCCATCCACTGAAACTGGCCGGCATTTCGGCGTCCTCCCAACCATAGTTCATTTGTCGTTCCTGAGGAAATGACACCAGTTTACTTTTCCCCGCGAAATTTACAATTTTTGTGCGGACGAATTCCCGCAATTTATATTCACCCGGTTCGAAAAAGAAGTCGAAATCCTCCACCCGATTACTAGCGTCGATGCGGGGAGAAAATAAGTATCCGCCGTTTTTGCCGCATTCTCCGACCGCATCCGACCAGTTTAATTCCTCTTGGTATTGTCGCACACACAGATCGAAATTCCAGACGTCGTATCCCGGCACGCATCGGCGAGGGGGCGGATTGGCTAAAGATAAATCACGGTCAGATCATTGGGTGGGAACCCAGCACGTCCCGGTTTAACGCTTCTACCTGAAAACTGGTTAGACCGAAGGCATTTGGAGTAGTCGAAGTCCTCCCATTTCGATTCTTTGGCATATTCTCCTCGGCACTTCCTGGTCACCAGTTCCCACTTTTCTAAATAGAAAGAAATGGGGTGAAACTCCACAGGAGAATTTAACGGAAAACTATTGATACTTACCGGTTAAACAGGGAGGAGAAGATACCGCCGATAGAAGGTAATAAGTATCGTTTCAGATGAAATTCGTATTATTGAATCGACGTTCTTCTCTCAAGCATCGACCTGAAACGAAAAATTGAATCGACCGTAACTGCGTAAACTAAATTCCTGCCGACAAATAAATAGATTCATACCCGAAAATGTCAGTTTGAAACTGACATTTCTACGGGAAATAACAAAATACGTACAGACACGGTACGATATAAGAAGTTAGCGTTGTGTTACGGTACGAACATCCACTCTAAATCGATCCGCTGGTAATTGCCGCAATTTTTTTCTTCGACTTTGGTAATTTATTTCCGTTTTTGTTCTATTTTTATCTAGCAACCCGGCCCGGCCGTCTGATTGCGCGGGACAATTCGAGCATCTCGTATCGAAAGATTTGCGGATTATTATAATTTTATTGTTTTTTGTTCACGTAATGCCGAAACGAAAATGCCGAAGTGAAAATGCAGTATAAACGATCATATTACAAGAGAATTTCCGTTGGTAAAGGTGCGGATGGATTGGTTCAATTTGCGTTAGGCATTGCACGTGATGGTCGGTCAGACCTAATCGATGGCGTAAAAACGAAAAAACGTATAAGTGCTGCTTGAAGTCGGGTTTCCAGCAGCAGAATAAGTCATTTCTTAAATGAGAAATGGAAAAACAGTTATAGAAGTTACATCTCCTTGGAAAGGTTATAGTTATATCGGCAGATAATACAAATACAAACTTCGGTGGAAAGAAGGAAAAGAAAAGAATAATCTGTACTTCGAAATGCAAGAAAACACTACGAACAATTTAAATGGCATTGCTTGTCCCGCACGTGCGATACGTAATGCTGCGCAAACTGCCGCAGGTCTATCTATATACTGTATCTTCAGTTAATAAGTAACAAGATCTACAATACGAAGCAAAAATTAGCAAATGTTTGCCGGATATAATCGGTCACGTTTATTATAAAAGCGAAGATCTACCGAAATTGCAGAAAGGAAGAAAAGTTTTCACTACTACCGAGAGAAATCAGTTGTAAGTATTAGAAAAAGAAGAACGTTTTCAAACTTATGTCATAGATTTCTACGATATTTGCATGGAATATATTCAGGAGTGATGTACATTATTTCTCGTGCCTCTCCGGTCTACGGATTGAACCAGTTTGAAGAGAAAAGAGCTTATGGCTTAGAAGAATATACAAGAAAGCTACATATTCTCGAAGAAAGTGTCATTAAATTTTACCGTGAACGAACAGGACTTACGAGTTAGCATATTCGAAAAATATTATGAAAGTAAATTTGAAGTATGGAGTAAACTGAAGAATCAAAGTATCAGTGAAAAATTCTGTGAAATGCTGGCTCATTTTTCAAAGTAGGATAAATGCCGAGAACACAAAATACCTAGTTAGGTTTTGTTTGTAAGTCGCACTGCCGCCATCCGATGCGGCTGTCGAACGCGATTTTTTATTAATAAATACGCCGCGGACAGACAAAAAAACACCGGACATAAAACTTAGACAGCGAAGGCTTTAACCATTATAAGGATTTCTCTCGCGCCGAGACCTGTGTTCGAATATCAAAGGAAAAAACTTCTCGAACGGATCCATATCTGTTAAATATTTTGATGAATACAAAATATAAATTTAACTATTATGAATTATCGGTTTGTTATTGTTAATGGCAGGCGAAGAAATTTTCCTTTATAATGTTATTGGAATGTATCTCCGCCTAGCCTAAATGGTCGGCGAAGTCGAGAATTAAAGGACCGTCAGTTTCCAGTTCGATATTTCGATGTGGACTTTTGCCGCGGGTCTGGCAAACTCCGGGACACGTCGCGATGCAGAATTTCGCATCTATCCGATAATTCTACCCGGGAGCGTAACATCAACGACCGGTCATTTACATTTAATAAATAATTATAGAGAGTAAACCTTCACTCACCCGTTAATTGGTGGAAAATCGAAAGGATAACGAATAGGAAAACGAAATCTGTGGATAAATATTGTATAAGAGACAAAATGAAAATTTAAACGGTCGAAAGTCGGGAATCAAAAAGAAAAACTTACTCATTTAATTAAAAGTGCTGCCCGCGATCGTATCCTTTCCTTTGTTCTGTTGTATCGGAGGAAGTTACTTCTGATCGATATCGTTACTCTGAAATCCGTTTAACAGGAAATTCTATTTTTTTTTCTTTTTTTGTGTTTTCCTTTCTTTTGTAATTCGAAAATGTTTATATTTTTAATCCATTAAATTTTTATATTTCTGTATTTAGCAGGATTTCTAAATTCCCTTATAATTTTTCTTTCATTTCAGAAATAACTCAATTGCGTCGAGGATAAATGTAGGACAATTTCAAACGAAATAACGTTGTTTAATATTTTCGTACTTAAAAAAAATTAACGGAGTAAATCCGACGAAACTGGAAATCTCGACACAAAACGCGTAATTATATTTTCCGAATGAAATATTCAATTATTCCAAAAAATAAAATAACCTTTCCTCGCGTAATTCTGCGATAAAATCTTTTCAGTTTACCACAGACGTAACAAACTCTTGTACGAAAAGTTTAAGCGGGAAACTTTTCTTTGTTAGTTTGGGCATTCCGTAATGTATCGACAGGAGGAATGAGCCGTGTTCCCGCTCCGCAATGCCAACTGCCGGAAACGAGTAATGGCGGAGTCTGAAAAGAAATTATTTGAAACGGTTAAAATTAGTTGGATGCATCCGTCGTTCGTCGGAATATTTATAAAATATTTTGCAATTTATTTCCAACTGTTATATATTTACGTATTTATATTCGTCTAACGATAATCGTCGTTTTCTTTGACCATCACCGTCCGATAACGCCGGGCGGGATAAGTAAATCGGACAGCAATTAGGGGAAATTCTGGGTTTATCGACTCCGACGTTAAAACAATTATAAAAATTCAAAGTAATTAATAATAATTAGTCTAATCCCGCTTACTCGCCGAAGGAATATTCCACGGTTAGGCCGGTATAAGTTCCGAAAGTTTAACTGCCGAGCCGTTACGTACTCTTCGTGGGAAATCTTTTCAAACCAGAATTGTTTTTCGATAATCGAATTTCGGTAAAGAAAGTTACGTTTTCTCCGTCGTAAAAAGAAGACGAAATACAAGCGCCACTACATTAATTGGGTTTAATTAAATTGCCAGTAAATGACCTGCATATAAAGACTTATATAAGTAGACACGAGAAGTTATAACTGGTGACAAAAGGATGTTCGGGGTAGATTCTTCCGGGAGAATAGACGTTAGGAAGATCGCGTGACATTCTTTACAGGCAAAACAGCGTAAATGAATTGAAGATTAACTTTTTAAAATTCAAAAACTCTTCGAGAATTATAATTGTAAAGAATTGTTTTTACTTTATCATTAAAATTAAAAACGTATTATCGGAAATCTATCACGTGTTATTTTATTTTCCGAGAAAAGTAACTTCCCTTTTCTTCACGTTATACGACCGTGAAGCGTAAAGTGTAAAAGTGATTAGTATTAACAACGAAATAAAAGTAATTTATGGGTTTACGGGGCAAGTAATATAAAAAGAAAAGTAACTCGAATACGAAAATAAATTTTGCATGTTTTTTATTCTACTTTTATTGATTTTTTGCGTTGGTACGAATAGACTCTTGCCGATGAATCGACTAAAGTAATTCGTAACATCGAGGAAAACGATATTCGCTATAACGAGGAGGGCGAGTTTAGGATACGCGGAGAAGAAAACAGTTGGCCGTACAAAGATACGGAAGCGCGCAGATACAGTATAATAGCATGTTATTACATTATTACGGCCTCCGGACCAAGATTATTGGCAATTAATTCTACAAAAACCAGTTTAATTAAACGTCCATCTTTGCGGCGAGCGATAAATATGTAATACTATCATATAACCTATTCTGTACCTGTTCAATTTTATGCAATCACTTATCAGTATTGTACTAATTATTTTATATCAGTTGTGGTTAATACCCTACATTTATTTATGTACTGCGATGTCACTACTACTGTACAACTATATACAGAATTAGATTTTACCATTGTGTACTGTATATTCAATGTTTCTCGCTCCATTACTGTATTTTGTAAAGCTTTATACATTTTATGTATTTTTACCTGTATTCTTATTCGTTTTTATATTTTCATTCGTTTATTAATAAAGGCGATGCAGACGCCCATTTTCGCATAGCCTATTTATTGCCGGTTCATAAATGTTACCTTCAGTGCTCAAAATTCTTTCACTTTCAATGACAGATGCTGGGGCACTTATCAATACATATTTCATAGCTTTTTTCCTCAAATTAAGAAAAAGTTTTTTTTTTTTTCAAATAAATTAGAAAACCTCCCTCTTGATCATCTCAGAAGTAGAAACTTCAGAATTTAATTCTTCTTGAGATTTTGAATTACCAATAGCTTTTAAGCGATCAATTGTCCATTTTTTTATTTCCTTTACCATATCTTTTTTTTAATGAAATTTCATTTAATCTTTTATCTAATAAAGATGACAAGCATAAACACTTGTTTTCTATATTTGCCGAATAATTTTCTAAATTGAATTTTCTACTCCTTCTATTATGGTATTAATGCCACTAAAGGAACTATTACTCTTTGCTCTTAATCAATCTGCTTTGCGTGGTTGTCCTGTGTGTTCTTGGTTTCTCGTGTTGATTATTTTCAAAAACTCAAGTTTCAATAGCTCCAAAAGCGCACCGAAGAAAACCAACAAAAAAGAAAGCTGTTAAAACAACAATAGAGGTAAAAAAATTATTATTGCCAAATTCAGAAAAACTTTAAATACCGGGCAAGTTCTTTATTAAATCGCGTGCTACCATCATTGGCAAAACAGAGCCCGTGATCATAATTGGAATTACTTAATATTTTAATTGATGGTATATCTTCTTCTAAACTATAATAACCTTACTCTTTTTTCCCTTCTACCACTATACTGTATTTGTTTAGTACAATAAAGTTTTACAAACAACATAATTTTTATTCATATATATCTTTTTTTTAAGATGGGAACGAATTAATTGAATATCAGTTATTTATGAGAAAAATTTTCTATATTCGT